AGTGCAAACTGCAGGTGCCGACCTTGCTCCTACTTGGGATGTGGGCCCAAGGACTCAGACCGACATGGAGCCGATTGTTCAGTGTTGGGGCCCTTGGACCGGTACAGAGTCCCGCATTGTCCCAGGGTATTCCACATCGGTGCAAGAGGCCCTCTGACTGATATTGAGGGCCCAGCCCTGCGGATCGGGGTCCTTAATGTGATCTACGGGACCTGCGGGACCCTACGAACACTACCCTCGACCGATTTCGGGCCCCTTGCCAATACAGGACGCTTGTCAGGCACTGTACTCCCAGACGCACGCAGGGGCCCTTATTGACTCAGGGGCCGGCCGATTTAAATCGCGGGCCCGACTTTATCTCTGCCTGGTAAATGGGTCCGAGCATCAGACCAAACGCTGGAGTAATCTGGTGGCGAATCCGCCTCCATCACAGGAGTGTAATCTAACAAAATAGGCCTTGGAGGATTAGAGTGGAAAACCTAACCATGAATACACTAAACGGCAGGTTTCTCCCCAGACCCACTTTCCTCACGACGTCATGAAGTTGAAATCTCGCCCTCCAACCGAAAAAGGAAACTACGTACCAACTCTAATACGTTCCCTCACTGTTAATACGTTCCCTGGTCCCAACGTCGATCGTTGGGACCAGGTTCAGGTAATCGACGGAAGGTCGTTGTTTAGTGGCTTCAGACGCTCGTAAACGTTTACAGCCTCGGGAATAAACAGTACAAGTTGATGTGCAAAACTATTAAAGGCTGTCGCGGAAACCCCCTGCTGATAGCCGCAAGGCGGGGTGCAGGCAGCAACTCAGCACTCGCATTAGGCATGTTGTCGGCCAATTGCTGCTATCGCTTTAGCCGGCTGGTGTCAATCGTCCAGTTCTCGAAACTGTTCGATCGAGCATTCACGTCCAAGTGGGGTCAGCACATTTCAAGGGTTCTTCTGGATATAAACGGCTTATAACCGGGTCGCGTTTTTTAACTCGAATTTCGACAAGTTTGTTTCCATCCTGTGATTTCGAAACAAAATCACGCAACTCGCTGCAGTCTGTCGAATATGAGACATAGCTAATCAATGCCGAAACAGACAATGGCACAAAAGAATACTAAAGGCAACAAGACATACTAATCGTGTAACTAAAATTAAGCATCATGCCGAAAAAAGAATCAACTCAATACCACATTGTAATTTTCATTTTCTTTACTCCTTTTCCTGCGAAACAGTTAGTAGAAACCTTGCTTACAATTGATATGTTGATCTATCATCGTTCATACCCTGCTTTAATTCGGCGCCAAAAGGTTGGGGGCCCAGCCTCACCGCTGGGTAAAGGTGGGGCGGGGGGAATTGGACATGGGGGGGCAGTGATCCACCCAAAAGAATACAAATCGACACCCGTGCGCGTGCTGACAGTGCGTTCGATGTGTGGGCTGACAGGAATTGTTTTATTTTACTTTCCCTTCTTCTTTTACCTTTTACTTTAGCCTGCACAATAACTCTGGCTTGCCATCGACCATGACACACTACGTACAAAGTGGTGTTTTGAAGTGTGGCTTCTATTCCCGTGATACAATCATCTATCCCATCCGTATGTTAAGTGTTTCTTCCCATTTCCAATTCAGTTTAATTCCATCCCTCTCGTTTTCAATGTTTACTTATGACGCTGTTAATTTACTGGGCAACGCAACCACAAACCAGACCAATCACTGTCACTCATCTTTTCATGGCTGCTCTTGGCATCTCAATTCCCCTAATCTATCGTACGTCGCATCTCCCCGAAAATTAGAGACGAGTGCCCCCACCCCACCAAACGTATTCTTCGACGCGAGAACTGACAAATCAAACTACCGCTTTTCAATCAGAGACCGCGTTTGATCTGTCGTCAGCACGTTTGTCAGCACCAATCACAGCCCGGTATCCGCCTTACGTCACGTCACGTGACCACAGACGTGGCCCGTTACGTCACGTGTCGGCTGACGATGCCAAGATTTTTCGTTGGCCTGTCAGCATGAGGAGGAAGCGCTACCAGGTTAAACGGCCTTGGATTAAACAATCACTCTGACTGAAGCGGGAGTTTGTTTTGGTAGCTCCTGTGCTGGCGAGTACGTTTCGTAAGGTGGGGACACTTTTCTCTAATTTGGGAGGAAATGCGACGTGAGATAGATAGGGAGAGAATTGAAATGCTAATAGTGGCGATGTAAAGGTGAGTGGCTGTGATTGGTGTGGTGTGTGGTTGAACTGCCCAGTGAATAAGGAGCGTTATAAGTAAACACTTAAAATGAAGGGGAAGAAATTGAAATGAATTGGAAATGGGAAGAGACACTTACCATCAGACCAGCATGATGGTAATACCGGAGCAGAGGCCACACTTCCAAAGACCACTTTGTACGTAGTGTGTCGGCGGTAATCCAGAGTCAGTGCGTGGTCTAAAGTAAAAGGTGAAATAAGCAGGCAAAGTGAAGTTAAAACACTTTCCCGTCGGCCCACACATCGAACGCACCGCCAGCAGGCATGGCGTTACGCATTTCAGTTGACAATCGTGCTGACGAAAGGTCGAACGGGACCTCGCCCCGCTGGATCACGTTCATCAAGTTGACACCATCTCTGCACAAAGTTTCAAGCCAACACAGTAGTAATAGCCTTATTCCGCGGAGAAAAACTAAGAGAATGAAGATATAGATGGTTAAATATTTCGGCAACATGCCTTTATCGAAACAACAGCGGAACTGAATTCAAAATTGCCTGCCGATGATCCTATTAAACTTTTCAGCGTTTGTTTTGGAAACAGGAAGCCACAGTTTTTACAGGACACCAACATTCAGAGGATTAAACAAGGATCGATTGCCAACCATTGCCACTATACAGTGCCTGTCTAAGAAAAATAATACCGGAACATATGTGTACATGCAAACGAATTCAAGCAAATAGGCACCACGCATCACGCTTCAACCATGCGAGCGAGTTGAAGTAAGCAGGCATTATACATCGCGCATCAATTATACATGCAGGCGATTTCAATTGAACGGGCATAATACATCACGCATCAAGCACCACTTACACATGCACACGATTTTAAGATGGCACACATCACACACAAAGGCAAATATCATGTACGCATAATGGGCCATGATGAGCCTTAGACGTTAAGATTTGGTCACCGAATTTTCAAAAAATGGATCCACTCATTTTCTTGTCTGGGTGATCCTGTGCTCCGTAGATGACTTCGAGTCCTAAAATGGGCATAGGATCCATACATCCCTCGATTTCAGCCTAAGCGTGTTTTGCCAAAAAATTGTCGCCGAAAGGGGCATTTCCTGTTTTGCTTTTAGTGTCTCACAGGTGTTCATTATATCTCAAACGATTAGAGCGCATGGACTCCCTGACATAGACCATGTCCCTCCAATGTTTTTCACACAGTCTACACCTGATTTAGTAAACCTCGTTTTTTGCGTGCAAACCCTTGAAACTCAGAACTGCATAAATGACACCTATTGCCACCCGCGCACTTAGGCTTCGAGGTAGAAGATCTCACCAGAGACTTTTAAGCTTATTGCCGTTCCTCCAAGCTATGCGTACGCGCAGTTTTGATTTTTAAACAAAGTGCTTGAGTTTCCAAAGTCAATGCTCATCAACTGAAGGTAGCGTTAAGAATCCGTCTTTCGATAGGACGTGTTCCGTCTCCTACCATCCATCTCCCCTCGCGCTCCAGAATTTTTTACTTCTTCCAACGTTCTGGGTATCAAAGGGTCTGCATGTAAAAAACGGGGTTTACTAAATCAAGTGTAGACTGTGTGAAAAACATGGGGGGGGGGGACATACTCCATGTCGGGAGTACATGAGCCCTAACCGTTTGAGATACAATGAACACCTGTGAGGCGCTAAAAACAAAACAGGGAATACCCTTTCCGGTGACCAGTTTTGGGCAAAACAAGCTCAGGCTGAAATCGAGGGATGTATGGACTTCATGCCTCTTTTAGAGCCCAAAGTCATCTTAAGACCACACGACCACCCAGACAGGAAAGTAAGTGAATCTACTCTTTAAAAAGTCGGCGACCAAATCTCAACATACAAGGCTCATCATAGCCGATTATGCGAATGTCATATGTACCTTTATGTGTGATGTGTGCTATCCTACAATCCTGTACATGTGTAAGTGATGACTGACGCGTGATGTGCGATGCGCGTTCAGTTGAGAATGCTTGCATGCATAATTCATGCCCGATGTGTGATGCCTGTTTACTTCAACTCGCTTGCGTGTTTGAATGAAGCGTGATGCGTGATGCCTATTTGCCTGATTTCATTTGCATGTAGACGTATGTTCGCGCATTCCACTTTTTAGATAGGCACTGTATCGTGGTAATGGCTGGCAATCGCTCTTTGTGTAATGCCCTGAATGCTAGTATCCTGTAAAGACTGTGGCCTGCTGTTTCAAAAAAACCTGAAAAGTCGAATAGGATCATTGGCAGGCAATTTTCAAGTTACTTCTTCTATTGTTTCGGTAAAGGCATATTGCCGAGATATAAAGTCAACTATATCTCCATTCTCCTGTTTTTTTCCGAGGAATAAGTCTATTACTACTGTCTTATCTATGTGAATAATGCTCCTCGCTAATGCACTGAACAACGTACGTAAGTTTCTGGCTAATCTGAAGAGTCTGCTCAGTACCGAATAAATACCTGAATCTGAGTGTGAATGTGGTGCCAACTTGACAAACAGTCCATCTTCTAAACAGCCTCATTTTCTCTGTCGAGGATTCGGTTACCGGACTGCCCCGTTTAGAATCTGTGCGTATACGCCGCAGGTTTTACTACGAATGGGTACTAGACATCATGCCTGTCTCAGTAAGGATTCGCACTAAAAACTGACGAGGAGGTGTAGCGAAATACGAAGTTTTGGAAACTATTATGGTTGTGCGAAATCAGCGCACTTCTGACGTTTGTGGTTATCAGCTGACGCAAGTTGACGTGTTGGATTTGTGATGACAACAGCTGGGCCGGTTGGTGGAGTGCCTGTTGATGTTCCGGTTGGTTTGGTGAGTACCGGTAAATGTACTCCTTGGCTGGTTGCGTAGGGTAGTACCAGGCGTACGTAGTGTTCCTGTATGTACTTCATAGGAATGTATCTAATTACTGATCAGCACAAGCATACCACAAGCTTTTTCGAGACCGGGCAGGCTGGTATTCATTGAGGGCCTCCACCGTGACGCTCGGTCGCCTCATGCTAAAACCTTTTTTATATATTCCGTTCTAATGCTCTGTGTGCAACTGCCTTGTGCTGTATTATTCTTGGATATGTATTCTGCAGGATTACCAATAGTGGCACATCATGAGGCTTTCTGTTTTACAGCCATTGCTACTTCTACAAAGTGTAAGTAAGCAGACATTGGGAGAAGTGGACATGGAAACCTACTTTGACATGGTGGGGTATTTTCTTTTATGGTATTGAGTAGAAAAATTATGGTATTGCAAGATTAATGTGCCAAAAACACAAAATCAGCATTCTAAAAGTTTTGAAGTTATAAAGCTTTGTTTCAGGCATTTCAAAAGCTTGTGCAAAAGCTACAGCCATCATCTAGCTTCTCAGGGTTTCTCATAAAGGAATCATGCAGCAGGGAATATAAGGATTTAGACTTGTCAGGATAGAAAGTGATGATACACTGTCTGGATGCAAATATCTAGCAGGATGTCATTTTGTCAGTGCTGCCTGAGCACATGTTAGACTATGCAATTTCAGTGTCCTTTGGGCAAACATGGAGTTCCATTGAATAATCCAAGATATTAGTTCACAAGTTAAGTAAATGGCTTCTATCAGCTGCATTACTAGGGCCCTCCTTGGCTGTGTCTTGGGTCTCCACAAGATCAGAGTTTGTGACAGTGTTAAGTTAGTCTCAATATTAAGTTGTTAAGTGCTTTTATAATGTGCAGTGCTGATTCCTGAAACCCTTTGCATTTGGACAAGGGTAGAAATTTACAGAGATTCCCAAATTTATTTTCTACCTAATTAAGTTATTTCATTCCCAACTTAGTGTCTTAAGCTGGAAACTTGTTTTGCACCCAGGAGCATGTCAGCAAGAGGTGGTGAAAGTAGACTGGCAGAGGGGCAGCTCTCTACCCCCCTCCCTGAGCTCTGAACATGATTTAATGTAAGGCCCATATTGGTGCCTGGAAAGAAACTAAATAAAATTATGTTTGTGCCCTCCCCCCATCTCCAGAGAGCTTCCAGCCCATACTGATGTCAGCAATATTTGCTTACATCCTGTGTAAATCCTGAATTGACGGATCCTTTTATGAATGAAACCACAATATCCAGATTCATCTTTGGCTTCAGTTTTGAAGTCCTTGCACTATGGTTTTGGTTTCTTTAAGCTTATGTGCATTTACATTTTTGGCAGCCAAAGCCCAGTCAGTGCAAGGGAGCTGTAAAAGTACTGCACTTGCAGGATCAGGGTATTGTACTCATATTGTTGCACCAGTGTGATCAATAAATGGATATCTGCATATGAATCCCACATGTCTTATCAAGGCTGTATCATATGCACAGCCAGCTTCAATGTGTAATGTATGATATATGCATCAAAATGTTGAACTATCTGGCTTGTTAACAAAGCTCAGTGATTTTGGTTGCCAACCAGTGTTTGGAGAAACCTGTTAAACCAAAGAGAAAGGAAAAATATTTTTAATAAAAAACAGGTAGTTTGTGGCCCAAGATCTAATTTGGGGGTATTGGAGGACACTTAATTCTGAGTTGCCATCACCACCATATGGTGTCCCTTCACTCAAAACTATGCAGGGTTTAATTGTGCTGAAAGCATGGCTGTAATCTCAGCAAGCTTTGACTTTACTAGGAAATGTGTGTAAGTTCTCCAGGCATTTCTAGGTATTGTAAAATATACCATCACATAATAAGTACATCTATTGCCCACACTTTCAGTTAAAATGAATTGCAATTTACCATCTAGGTGGTGACTAGTTCCACCTCCCCATTTGATTTGTGTGTTTCCAAGAAATAGCAACACTTGGGAATAATGTGTTAGTATGTCTCCATTTATGCCCATCTCTTATTAGGACCACATGCCATTATAGCACAAAATGTAATCACAGTGAGCATCTTTTAACTTTTATTTGAACTCTCATGCTGTTGTCAAAAATTCAGGAAGCACATCCACAGCATGGAGTGCTGTGAAGGACTCTTTTCTCGCTTATTTTTGGAAATAGTTCGTGATCACCGATCACAGCAAGTCGTGTGAAAGCAGTGGAGATGTGGCAGTTTTTTGGGGTTAATTATGGTGTCAGGTATGGCACTGATATCCGTTGGCCTATTCTTTGGGGACAGTTGGCCGGTTGACTCAGTGGGTGAGAGCACCTGCCTTCTGGTTCCCAAGCCTGTGGCGAGATTTAGGCGTTGGATATGTGCCCCTTACCGGGATGGCCTGTGGCCGATGGCAGCGGCCGCGCTAGTGGTAGTGGTAGTTGACGCCGAAGGGCAGAGCGGACTAGCCAAGTATTGGCAGCACGTTTAACTTTTTCTGCAAAGTTTTACCGCAGACCCCAAATTTTACGGTCGATGGTGATGGCCAGGACTCATGCAACAAGCAGCGCTCAGCGTGGGGCACTGATCCAAAAAATCCAATAAAAAAAATCTAGCTGACTATTGGACTGATCGGGCCAGATGAATACTGCAATAACACTAAACCAACCCAAAACTATGCAGAAGTTTCGTTTCTGTCGTCCACAAACATGCTCAAAATTTCATGCTGCTGCTTCGACCAACAAAGTTAAGTGTCTTAACACTGTTGGTCTTACAGCTGATACTGCAAGCTTTCTGTCCCAAGTGAGAGCTCCCATCCCTGATTTCTAGCAGCCTGTGGAAGTGGCATACCAAACGCTATGCTATGCAGTACTGGGATTCTAAATCTGCCATTACAGCCTCTCCTCTTACACATTTTATAAACTTGTGATACAAATCCTGGCATTGCTCTTGAAGCAGTCAAATAACATAATTAGATATATTTGGATTATTTCCAGCTCATTAGTGGAACAGTGTATCCTTGCTGACAAATGCTAACATAATTTATCGTCGGGAATTGCATGGGATCTGGCAAGAGTAAAGGGATAGGCTCAAACTATGTTTTGTCATTCTTTTTTCAGAATAATTTCTTGCATGTTCATTACACCAAATTATTGCTGTTTTTTGGAATGGCTACTGTAGCATATGAACCGCTTCATGTCTAGCCTTTTATATTTAGATATTCACATTTTTCTGACTACAATGATTTACATGTAATGCATGATGTGATGTGGGTTAGTTACTCAATACCATTTCTCTTATCTCCTCCATTTCAGGCTGAGCATCACCAGTTTTGTGGCTGTAAGCCCTGGTCAGCTTAAAGGCAGGCCAACATGTCCGGTCAACGTGTGAAGAGGAAGGCGCCGGTAAGATACCATGGGCTTGTTAACTGGGATGAATTATGCGTGGTGACGCAAAAATACGTTTTCCGCCGCTGTCTAAAAAGTGTGTGCATTGCCTGACCAGTCACATAAGAAACGCCTCTTTTCTTTGGTCGCCACATAAAAAACGCCTCTTTTCTTTCGTCATTATTGTACCCAAAGTCGCATTTGAGAGACCAGCAAACCGAAATTGCATGTCCACTTTATTTCCAAGTTCTATTTTGGCGCAAGCATCGATGAATGCACCAAGCAGTCAACTTCATCTCCATGCTTTTTTTGCGTCCAAGAATGCAGCCCCGGTCCGTTACAGAATTTCCTAATCTTATGTGTACTGTGCAGGAGCCTCCTCCTGTCGAACAGCCAACTACAGAAGAGTATGCCATCGCCAGCTACCTGCGGGAGCACGTGCCGCCCAAGAAGACCAAGTTCCTGCATCACGCGGTGGAGTACTTCACGGCGGCGCGCGCCGTCGATGCTCTGCTGGACTCGCCGTGGGCGTCCGGCGCCGACAACAAGCCCTTGCTCTTCACCGACAGGGACTCTGTCACTGCCTATCTGGATGGGTTAGTGAGCTGGGCGTTAGTGGGACCTGTGTCAAAGCTGTGAGCTGTGCGACGCGCTCAGCTGCTGAGGCTATGTAGCGTCGCCTACCTCTGACCTTGGCAGGAAGAGCAGGCACCGTGGGGAATCCGACCCCGTACCTCTGGCTTCTCAGGCATGTAGTGGTTAACGCATGTAGTGTTAGTCAGTACAATATCGGCACCCTATTAGTGGATCATGTCCTGGCGCCCTGCATCTCTTTGACTGGAGTGAAGCTCATCAGAGGCATTCTATATCAATGCAACTAGAGATGCTTATGTGCTTTTAGGTGCTGTTTAAGTGCAATGGAAGTATTTTATTGGTCTATGATGGGATAATAGCACATCGGAAGTGTCACCGAGGGAGCTCCTACAGTGAAACGTTCCGTGATTTGGGATCAACTGGAAATGACTATATCTCGAGCTCGTTGCTCTGTTGTCGGGCGATTTCATCGTGAATTTAGTGTGCTACCTCAGGTGGCATGAATGAAGTGGACAGTGGATCCCGTCAGTGCTATGATTCCTCAGTGTGTTGACCATTTACCACCGTGGTTGTATGTACTTCGATGATGCGTTTTGGCAGGATGCTTCGTCACAAGTTTTTCCATCGGGCCAAAAAGATTGCGATCAGCGATAGGGATTTGCGAAGGAAACAGCTTAAGAAGCTGAAGAAAAAAGAAGAAGAAGAGAAAAAGAAGGTGACCGAGAAGGAAGACGAAAGTGGGTCTGAAGAGGATGAGGGGAAGACAGATGACAAAGGCAATGCGGAAGAAACAGGAGGCGAGAGGAGCGTTGGGGAGGGCGAAGCCTCACCCAAGGCGGCTTCTAGGAAGGTAGTTATGCATGCTCTATTCTAGAGCCTTTGAATCTTCGATGTGCGGTACGTAGCCACGTGTCGTTGTTTCTAATGGGATTTGCGATAAGAATTTTACACCGAACAAGTTTTACCGGCTGCACTCCTCAATTACCTTCCCACTGGGCCCATGGTTGCAGTGGTTGATACCGCTGGTGACGCACATACTTCAGCCTCAGGTCTCAACGCAAGAAGCATTTGGGTGTCGTCCCCATCAGTGATGTGACTGTTCGGCAGCATTCCGGCAATCCCCTTCGCCATTCGGTTTCTAGGATCGATTGGTTCTGATGCTGATTATTTGATGCTGGTATTAAGCCACGAGTGTGCCACATGTTTCTGTCCTGTAGCCGATCATCAGCTGACAATGCTCACGAAATACGAAAATCGTTGCTGAAGCGCTGCCCGAATAGTAGTTAACGCAGCATAAGGTCTAAACGACATTTACTTATCCCGGTAGCACGTCTCAAACGACTCGCAAATGATCTAAAATCATCGGAATGACTTCTGCGCATTAAGAAGCTCTTCAAGTGTATTATCACACGACAAGCGGAAAATCCCGATTTTAAAAGCATCTCTTTACTTCTACAAAATCCAGATTTTTGCGGCATTATTGCAACATTTCACCGATCACCGATCACCATCGAATCCCATCACCATCGAATCACCATCGATCACCGATCGAATTTCATGGTAGCTGAAATATTACGATCTCTGACAGGCGTATCAATTTGAGCAGATGTGTGGGTGCAACGTCGTGACATTTATGGCAATGGCTTTGCATGAGGACTTCAAGCACAGTATTTTGGCAGTCTTATCCATCCAATACCAGCCACCTGACTGTTGATGGTTTTTTCTCCTCGCGCAGGACGGCGCGGACAAGCCCAAACGGCGGATCAAACTGGACATGCACCTGGAGCAGGTGTTTGTAGACGGCTTGGACGCCTATGTCTGGATCTATGACCCGATCCCGCGCCACTACTGGCTGCTGGGCGCTCTCCTGGTCGGCGCCATCGTGGCTGTTTGCCTGTTCCCGCTTTGGCCCAGCAAGCTCAGGTCTGTCTCACACGCGCGCCGCAGACAGGACCTGGTGCAAACCGGTCTGATCAAAGGCATGTCCTTTCATCCCGAAAGTGAGCTTGGTCGGAAGTTAGTCATATTCGCCCATATTTTTGCAACGTCTTGCCCCTCGCTATTTGAGATGGTATCTGGAGTGGACATGTGACACACACACACACACACACACACACACACACACACACACGCACGCACGCACGCACGCACGCACGCACGCACGCACGCACGCACGCACGCACGCACGCACACACACACACACACACACACACACACACACACACACACACGCGCGCGCATATATATATATATATATATATATATATATATATCATCATATCATATCATATCATATCATATCATATCATACCATATCATATCATCAGTTGTGATCCAACTTGCTGCATGCCCGGAATCAGTGTGTTCACCAGGCACCTCCTTGTGGCTGTGTGTGTGCGTGCTTTGTGGTCTGAATACGAAATAGCTTTCGTAGTCGACGCACCTGTGGAATTCCCGAGACATCATCATGGGTGCCTGTGCTCGTCCCGTCCAACACGCCGACTCCGTGTACTCGCTTCTTCTCGACGAAAGCATCTAGCCTACGTTACCCAGTCTTGTTTTCGTGCGTCCCGTGTTGCCGGGTCTTGTGGTGGTCCTGTGTTGTCCGGTCTGCTGCGGTGTGTCTTGTGTTGCCCGTTCTGCCGCGATGTGTCTTGTGTTGCCCGGTCTGCCACAGTGTGTCTGGTGTTGCCCGGTCTGCCGCGATGTGTCTTATGTTGCCCGGCCTGCCACAGTGTGTCTGGTGTTGCCCAGTCTGCCGCGATGTGTCTTATGTTGCCCGGCCTGCCACAGTGTGTCTTGTGTTGCACGGTCTGCCGCGATGTATCTTGTGTTGTCCGGTTTGCTACGGTGTGTCTTATGTTACCTGATCTGCTACGGTGTGTCCTGTGTTGCCCGGTCTGCCGCGGTGTGCCTTGTGTTGTCCGGTCTGCTGCAGTGTGTCTTGTGTTGCCCGGTCTGCCGCGCTATGTCTTGTGTTGCCTGGTCTTGTGGTGTTCTGGTCTCCTGTCCACTAATGTCATGATCATCTGACCTCTCTCCCCCGCTGTAGCGGATCGTTTTCATGACCGGACGCAGATATTGCGGCAGCGGTTAGACGGCGCGGTGGAGGTCTGGTACGGTCTCTGGCGGCCGGCCGGGGGACGGCTCGATGTCGGTGGGCCTGTCATTTGACCCCTGCTTCGGCGCTGCCACGGCAGGGAGGGCGTGTATTACTTGTCGCTGGCGGCTGCTGGCTTCCTGGCGGTGATCCTGGTGCTGACCGTGGTGCGGGCCGTGGTGTTCGTGCTGCTCTGGCTGGCGACCTGGGGCCGGCACCAGCTCTGGCTCCTGCCCAACCTGACTGCTGACGTCGGATTCTTCGCCTCCTTCTGGCCGCTCTACGAGGTATGGCTCAGTAGTAACGGCCAATGTTTTATTGCGACTTGGCCGCAACTGATCATTGCGTGGGCGAATTAAACGGGACTAGACGACATGATCAGCCTGATACAGAGCAAGATGTGATGAGGAGTGTCACGTTGGACGGTAACTATGAGGTTTGGGACGCACACGATGTACGAAGTGCCAAGTGTTAACGTCATCTTCAGCGGCTCTGCCGGAGTGAGGAGTGTTTTGGGGGATATTTGTGTACTGCTAACGAGTCCGATTTTTCAGTATGAGTACAAAGGCAAGAAGGAAAAATCAACCGACAAGAAAAAGCGGAAAACGAAGAAAAGGGACCAAGAATCCGACAATGAGGGCGATCTCGAAGCGGACCGGGCGGAGGAGCCGGCGGCCGAGGCGGCGCCTGAGCACCCTGAACCCAGCGGGACCGGCGAGAGAGATGATCAAGAAGGAGAACGCGATACGCCGTGAGTGTAATGCGAGCTGTTGTTCAGAGGTTCGATTGGTTCAGAGGTGGTGTAAGTCGTGCTTCCGCAGCGAAACCATCTCCTTGTACAGTGCCTCGTTACTTGGTTGGCATGAGTAATAGTAATTTATATGGCAGCTTGGTGGAATATGTGGAAAGTACTGGCTTGCGGAGGAACAGCGTGGTGGAATATGTGGAACGTACTGGCTTGCGGAGGAAAACTGGGGTATCGACGAACTTTCCGCCCAGAACTTGGCTCACTTCGAGGTGAAAGTTTGGCGTGCTTGCCTGAAGAGATCAGGAACTTAGCTTATTGATTGTTCACTTTATGCGTTACTTGCTTGTTTGATTTACTTTGATTTCTTATCGATCTGAAACAGTGTGTAAGCGTAATCCCTGGTTTGGTCTGATGAGTTTAGGGCTCTCCGGCCATCACTGGCCACGTCAGCGTGAAACGAAAGGGAAAATTGTAGTCATGCGGCCACGCTAGGCTACCTCAGATGTCGGGACTTACGCGGACAGGGAACCTAAACCAAGGATGTCCGGGTGCACCGACCAGCCCCAAACGTATGACTGGCATTATGGTGATGCACGGGCAATCTTGACGATAGAAGTAAGTCAGAGCCGACTCATGGTTGACCGTCTCAGCACACTCGGCGTCAGGGCCGTCTCATGGCTGACGATCCCAGCACACTCGGGGTCAGGGCCGTCTCATGGCTGACGTTCCCAGCTCACTCGGCGTCAGGGCCGTCTAAAAGCTCACGATCCCAGCTCACTCGGCGTCAGGGTCGTCTCATGGCTGACGATCCCAGCTCACCCGGCGTCAGGGCCGTCTCATGGCTGACGATCCCAGCTCACTCGGCGTCAGGGCCGTCTCATGGTTGACGATCCCAGCTCACTCGGCGTCAGGGCCGTCTAAAAGCTCACGATCCCAGCTCACTCGGCGTCAGGGCCGTCTCATAGCTGACGATCCCAGCTCACTCGGCGTCAGGGCCGTCTAAAAGCTCACGATCCCAGCTCACTCGGCGTCAGGGCCGTCTCATGGCTGACGATCCCAGCTCACTCGGCGTCAGGGCCGTCTCATGGCTGACGATCCCAGCTCACTCGGCGTCAGGGCCGTCTCATGGTTGACGATCCCAGCTCACTCGGCGTCAGAGCCGTCTCATGGCTGACGATCCCAGCTCACTCGGCGTCAGGGCCGTCTCATGGCTGACGATCCCAGCTCACTCGGCGTCAGGGCCGTCTCATGGTTGACTATCCCAGCTCACTCGGCGTCAGGGCCGTCTCATGACTGACGATCCCAGCTCACTCGGCGTCAGGGCCGTCTCATGGCTAACAGTCCCAGCTCATTCGGCGTCAGAGCCGTCTTATGGCTGACGGTCCCTGCACACTCGGCGTCAGAGCCGTCTAATGGCTTACGGTCCCTGTACACTCGGCGTCAGGGCCGTCTAATGGCTCACGATCCCTGCACACTCAGCGTCAGGGCCGACTCATGGTTAACGGTTCCTGCACACTTGGCGAGATGGGGCGCTACGAGGACACAGGATGAAACGGAGGCCAGGAAAGCAGGGCAAATGTTGGAGCATCCGCCGGACGAAAATTCGTGACGATTGTTCGCCATCGCTACATCGTTTCCGTGAATGATAATAGTAGCGCTCACGGACTTCTCGCTCCCTCCACAGGCCAGCCGATGAAGACTCTGGGTCAGAGCGTGACGAGTAATGCGACGGGTGGCTAATGCTACGCTGCGGTGTCCAGATGGATGGGTGCGTGCAAGCTGCCGCTGACGTGGTGACCACCTGGTGGGCGCGGCTCGAATTGCAGGTGTCTTCCCTGCTCCAGGGTACCAGCGCGTGACTTCACATGTTCATGTGCCCTGGCGGCTTGCACGGCACTTAATATTTTTATACGTTGTGTTTTTGGTAAGGTTGTTGGTAATGCGGCGTTGGTCGTTTTGATACAGTCGCCTCAAAGGCGCGGCTTTTTGTGGCATTGTCTGTTGATGTCGGCTGAAGGAAGGTCTGCTTCTGTCCTCCGTCCATTTTGTATCGGCAGCGGCATTTATAACATGGCATTTTGTTGAATAAACGCTCGCGAGGGCTGTTAAGGTTTCCGGTGACGAACACGGCGCGTGGCGTGGGAACACCAACGCCGTCACAGGTGGCGCCACAGGCAGCAATAGTCCACTTAGCTTCCTATAAAGAGGCGCTGCAGACACCATTGCACCCTTGTTAGCGCCGGACACTTGGCCGCCGACCTCATGCGGACACGGGTCGCGAGCCGTCCTAGGCACCAGGTCGCCTGCGGAACTGTACGCGTCGCGACTGCGAGCTGGTGGGTGACGTCCCGGAGCTTTAAACTCACCAGCTTCGGCCGTTTGGTTTCGCCGCATCCCGCGGCGCAGTGGGGCTGGTGCGATCCCTTGTCTGTTTTACAGCTGACAGGCTGGAGTTAACATTCAGCTGTAGTATTACTTGCTTACCGTGTTACCTAAACAAGCGCAGAGGGCCCACGTCTGGTCCTGAAAGGGCCGTTTTAAACTCGGGGATCGTTTTGTGTGTGTAAAGGGCCCATCTTAAGCGGCCCATTTTAAGACAGAAAAACATGCATTTCCAGACACGGTAGTGGCCCTTTTTGAGCTGAAAAGGTTCCATCGTAAGCTCAAAAAGGGTCCGTTTTAGGTCGGGAAAAGGGCCCATTGTAGGCTAAGAGAGGACCCTATCACGTCTGGAAAGGGTCCATCATAAATTCAGAAACGACGGGTGTCAAATCAGGTAGGGACCCGGTATAGGCTCAGAAACGAAACATTTTAGGCACGGAAAAGGCCCTTCTCACTTTTCGGGCCTGGAACGGGCCATCTCTGGTCTGAAGGAGGCCCATCGCAGGCTCAGAAAGCCATTGGCGGTGTATCCGCGGGGAAAACTCCCCCATGTATGAGGTGAGGGTCAATACTATCTCCTCTCACATTTCAGGTGACCAAAGTGGGCCCCTGACGGATTTGTAGGAGAGATTCGTTTATTGTGTGTCTTTCGCGTAGGCGTAGGTAGCCCATCAGGCCCGGAAAGGATCAGTTTCAAGGTAGCAAACCCTTTAAACAGTTTCAGGTACGGAAAGAGCCCTTTCCGGCCAGAAAAGTGTCCATTTTAGACTCAAAAGTGCCCGTGTTTGATCAGGACAGGCCCATTGTAAACTCGGAAAGGATCCGTCCCAGGTCTGGGTGGGGCCATCGTGAGCACAGAAAGGGCCCTCTCAGGCCTGGAAAGGGCTCGTCGCAGGCTAAAATAGGTAGTGGGTAGAAAGCCCATCGTATGCTCAAGACCCTTCTTAAATCATGAAATGGCACGTTTTAGACTGAGAAAGTGTCCATCTCAGGTCCATAAACATTGCATCTAAACACTAAAGCTCGAGAGGAGCCTATCGTAGATTCTACAAGCTCCATTTTATACCCGGGGAGAGGTCAAGGTTTTCGTAAGATGGGGTTAGGGTGGCACGCATCTGGAAAAAGGCCTTCCGGTGGCAGCAGAACACTGGAGGCCCCATTGCCTTTCGCGGTCAGGGGTTGAAGAGGATTTCCATTCCAACCCGCCACCCGGGGTACTTGCCGACTACTGTTCTGGAGACACGATGGCCGGGCCCCCTGGTCGATCGGCAGGACCACAGAGGATGCATCATGCATCGGTCCCTCCCTGACGAGGAATGCCCCCAGGTCGGAACAGTTGATCCCGAATTGACGTATGGAGCCTCATCGACGCCAAAGGACCGCTTACCAACAGGGGGGTCCAACGATTAGCGGATGACTCCAGTTCGGTTTATCGGGCCCCTGACTGAAGAGGGTCGGAGGTCCGGGGCCATGTTCGTTTTTGGGCCCGCACCTGATCTAGGGCTCTTTCTTGGTCTCATAAAACCTTTTATTGCCATTCGTCCTATCTCTTCTTATTATCAGCGGGCTCAGTCAACTTAAGAGGCTATCCTGACATTCGATCTACGTTCCTGTCGTCATTCAGAAAATGGAACCATGGCCGACTTGGGCCCTTGCCGACTTAGGGCCTTCCGTCGGGCGTGCTATGGCCTCCTTGACCAACACAGCGGTCCCTCATTGCCTCAGGGGTCCCGACCAACGAAAAGTGTTCTCTGACTGACAGCCGTTGGCTCCAGGATCGTCCTGGCTTTGGAAGTGGGATCTAGGCCGCCAAGGGGCAGACTGTTCAAAATTCGTGGTCATGGATCGGCTGGCAGAACTTCGTTGCCCCCAGGTCCGCTCCCCCCCCCCCCCCCCCATCGGCGCAAGAGACCCTCTGATGGACATTTGCGAGCCAGGACCCTTTGATGCCGCCTCCGGCCAACTCTTCGGGTTTCGTAGTCGGGCCCTTGATCTTCGGCCTCGAGGAGCCATGTCTCGCGTATGGGCCGGGAGCACACATGTCTCCCGTGTGGGCCCATCTGGACCCCACGGGAGACATGTGTGTCCCCGGTCCCATGGCCTGCGCCCTGCCTTCAGCTTATGATGGGCCCGTCTCAGATCTGAGAAGAGCCCATGCCCAGATAAGAAACGCCCATGGAAGTTTACGTCTGGAAATGACCCATCTCCAATCAATTCAGTCAAAATCAAATCATCATTCAAATAAAAAAATTAATGAAATCAAAATTAAAAAAATAAACCTTACCAATCAGGGAAGGCCCATTGTAGACTCGGAAAGAGCCCGTTTTCGGCTAGGAAGGGGCCCACTGCAGGTTCAGAAAGGGCCCCCTCAGATCTGGAAATGGCCATAGTGAACTCAAAAAGGTCCTTACTGGTCAAGGGACCACACATTTTAGGCTGAAGACGTAAGCATCCCATATGACGAAAAGGTGCTTTTCATCTTTAAGGCCCGGGATGGGTCCTTGTCCCTTTAATCTCAGAAATGAACCGCGCTAGATTCGGGAAGTGTCACTTTTCACGCCCAGAAAAGGCACAGGCGAGGTCCGGAAAGAAAAGCGTCTTGCTCTTAGACCTGAAAACATTCCTCCAAGGTCTGCAAAGACCTGGGAGGGGATGATCTCATCTTGGGCCCAGAATAGGGATGGAGGTGAGCTCTATCTTAGGCTCAGAATGAGCTATCACTGATCGAGAGGATCCACATTGGCACACCTACCTGCAGAACACATCGGTAGAATGACCGAATTTTTGTGCCACCAATATTCTGGTGATTTTGTAGCATTCGGAAGCTCTGGAATCGGCCTCTGCTGGTGCTTCTGAAAGAGTGTTGCAGGCAGATGGGGGGGGGGGGGGGGGTACAGGGTCACGTTTGCACCCCTAGGTTCTTCGGGATCTACAATTAAGGGTCCAAAAAACCGGCCGGAGGTCGTATTCAGTGGCCCTGGCTTGCAGGGCCGGGCGCTCCAATGTCAGCCAAAGGGTCCCCGCGCTGATATAGGCTCCTGAGTGGATAAGGGCCTTTATGTCGGTCAGATACCGCCACTAGCACACAGTCGGCTCCATTGTGGCAGGGGCATGAGAGCCCATTTTTCAACCATGGACAAAGCCAGAGCCAGTGATTTACATCGGTCGGGTCCCTCGGCGTCAAACGGGGGTGCTGTGTTGGCAAAGAGCCCCAAGCCGGTCAGAGACAGTGTTCTAGGAGGCCCGAAAAGCCTGGAGTACGTAGCGGGTCCAACGATCGAAGGCCCCATTGGAGGGTCTAAGAGCACGAAGGGCTGGTTGGAGTCTTATCCCGGGGTTCTGGCCCGCGGGGACGGACCTTCAAATGACAGTCAGAGGACCCTTTGCACCGATCAGGGACAGCCCGGGGTTCTGGCCCGCGGGGACGGACCTTCAAATGACAGTCAGAGGACCCTTTGCACCAATCAGGGACAGCCTGAGTCGATATGGGTCTATAGGTCGGTCAGGCGCCAACAGTGCCGCACGGTCCGCTCCGTATTGGTGTGGGCCTGGGCTCCCACGTCACAATCAGCTACGAAAGCCGGAGCCAGTGATTTACACTGGCCGGCGCCCCTGTACCTGTCAGGGGCTTACAGAGCGCCTAACAGAGGGTTCTGTGTTCGCAGGGGGCCTCAGGGCGACCAAGGGCAGTGTTCGATGATGCCCGAAGAGGGGCGCGGGTGTCCCAATGGAACAGACTGTCTAAGGCCCGGATGGAGGACATAAGAGCTCGAAGGACTGGCTGTAGTTCACATCAAGAATCGCGGCCCGGTTGGGTTGTTATAAGGGTTGCGACCTGGAATATCAGTCAGAAGTCATATTGTACCGTTTAAGGACCCCCTGAGACAATACGGGTGTCTAACTCGGCCAGAGACTTCGAATACCAAACAGTTGGCTCACTGTAGGTTTGAACCCTGTGGACCCGTTTTCCAAGCAGAAGCAAGACCAGGGGCAACGATATGCATTGGCCTGAGTCACGGAAACAGTGGTTGGGACCCCTTTGTCGGTCAGGGGCCGACACTACATAACAGGGGAACATGTCTCGGCTAGTAGCCCCCCAGTCGCTCACGGATTTTGAGGATGTCCGAAAATGGGCCGGAGGGCCGATCGGAATCAGAGATCGAGGCTCCGATTGGACTCGGACCTTTCTCCATCCGTAGTGTCATGACCTGAATTGTCAGTCCGAGGGTTTTATTAAGTACTTCTTAGAAATTTTCTCTGTATCACCATTAAAAAGGGCCTCAACACCGGGTCAAACAGTCGGCTCCATGTTCATCTGAGCCCTTGAGACCTATTTCGTAAGCAGGAACGAGGCCGGGGCCCCCGATTTGCAATGTTTGGGGTCCCTGGCACGGTGAGGGGCTCCTATGTCGGTCAGAAGCCACAGTGCCTAACAATCGGTGCAACCCCGTCTGGTTTTTCGGTGTCATTTCACAAACCCCTCCACGTATCGTAAATAATTAACGGATTAACGGTTTTGGAGCCTTTTCACGCCTGCTTGGCAAATTTTAAGTTATTTCCACGTCAGTCCACTCGCTCATGACTTCGCTCTCTCTGAGAGAAGTGTAAGAAGCAGCTAGCGGATCTAAAAAATGTTATGTATTTGAGCCACGCAGCACGTCACTCCTGCTGGCCTACAACAGCGTACACAGCTCGGTACCCTGCCCTCCAAGCTG